CCCCAAAACCCCAAAACCCCAAAACCCCAAAACCCCTCAAGTGAATTTTAGTATAGAAAATGGGTGAATATAATCATTAAAAAGAACAAAAGTAAAGGATGGAATCTACAAGTAGACAAATTGATATTTATAAAGTCAGAATGCTCTTTCATCAAGCAAAACAGATGGAAGCTGAATCAAAATGGGAGTCAGCCAAAAATGTTTATCGAGAAGTTCTGGCTTATTATCAAAAATTAGGGCTAAATTCCGAGGAAGAAGACGCAAGTTTGACAAAAATGATAAACTCATGCGAGATAAGTCTTAAGCTAATGCAGTTGAAATCTGAGTTACCTCCTTGACCAAAAATAGGAGATGTCCCTCTGAATTCAGTTCAGATTGAAGAGGAAAGTAAGACTGATCCCCAAGAAAGAAAAACTGATGAATCCCTCAATATCATTTTAAATAGCTTATCCAAACGCCCTGCTGATGGTATCTCGGCTGAAGCCCAGAATGAATTTGGGAGGATTAAGCATATGCTAGAACATACGAACCAGAGAGTCAAGAAACTGCTAAACTCTCTTATGGAAATGTACCTCAAATTAGAAATCATATACACTCGTGACTTTGTAGAGGTACTTGATGGAAACGTTTATGGATACAATAACCTTTTTGTTAAAAATATGAATAAGCAGATGAAAGAGATGAAAAAGTACATTTCAAAGGTGATTGACTCAGCTGATACTAATTTAAACAAAGGGAGAGATATTTTGAAAAGCTCTCTTCTTTCTTCAACTCCAGACGACTATTTCTCCAGTAAAATTTCTCAGAGCTCTATAATGGATCCGAAGAGACCTATCGAAATTACAGAAGAGGACATCGAAAACTACCTATCCGACTTAAACCCGCCTCCTTATGTCAAAGAGGAGAAGTACAACAGCCTTAAGTCCAAATATAGGTAACTAACCCTCTTAACATCCAGAAAACTCTACAAAAAGTACAAAGAATACAAGAAATCCGCTGAATCAAAAGACACTGAAATCTCCCAACTTCACTCAATAATTTCCCAACTCCAAAACGACCAAGCCAATCTTCTTCCCACAAATATTTCATAGTTCAATTTTTTTACAATTTTTGGGGTTTTGGGGTTTTGGGGTTTTGGGG